TGAGCAAATGAAGCCACCCACTTTCTGTTCAAGGTAGAATAAGTTCTGTTACAATTCTTGTTCAGCTTCCTTCCTAATTAGCTCCTAAAACAGGTCAGGTTTTAGAAGCACATACAATTGGCTCCCAAGAAACCTACTGCCAGGCTTTTCCTGCAGTGAGAGGGTGGCCCTTACAATAATGCGTGGAAGGCGATGCTAGTCAACTTTAGTAAAACTTTTCTGCAGAAAAGTGTTAAGATTCTTAATGGTTAGAACCCACTAGGATTGCAAAGCAGGGATCCTTCTCTTTCCACATCTACACACCTTGTCCATTAAAGCACCCCTGTATTTTGTAGACTTCCATATTAAAAAAAAATAATAACCAATCAGTTCATAAAAGTTAATCCAATTCTCAGAGCAGCAACATCTTTTGTCAGGATCACACAGAATCCAGGAAAGAGAAGCTATCCAAAGCACTTCTTCCAAATCATTTTTTAACTGTCCACAGTCCTAGGGTTGATGGTCTATTCCAGTGTGCTGGCTGTGGAATTCTGGGAGTTGAAGTCCACATGCCTTAAAATTGTCAAGTTTGGGAAACACTGGTCTATTCCTTTGCAGTACCCTTTGGTAACAAACTGACTTCAAGGGTAGCTTTCAAAGAAAGACAAGTCACTTAGTTCCAAGAAAATATTAACCATAGTTCATTCATTTTATATGCCTTCCACAAAAACCTCTACAAAAATAAATATGAGCTTGAAAAACAATTAAATCTTTCACAGTTAACCAATCTTTTAATATCACCTAAGTCTGGTACTACTGGATCGGATCTGCAAAATCCAGATGACCACCAAGTGATAGTAAAGTGCTATGCTGCCATCTATTGGTCATCCAGATTCCTGCAGTAGTTTTGGATATCCTAAAATTAGCATTACTCTTAAATACAAATAGGAACTCATAGGAGCTGTTTAGGTTTTTGTTCCTCAATCATTTTTTTACTTAGGTTTGTAATACATTAGGAATAGATAGAAGCACACTACATGGTGAATAATTACAAGATGCAGTTTACCAACATTTTTGCTTTCTTGAAAGTGCATTTCCCCCCCCCCCTTATATAACCTAGGGATCTCATGAAATAGCCCCTTTTCAATATGTGATATACAAAGTACTGACTAGAGCAGTGGTTCTCAACCTGTGGGTCGGGACCCCATTTGGGGTCGAATGACCATTTCACGGGGGTCGCCAAACAAGGCTGTCCGCCATTTTTTCCCCTTTTTGGCCGGTGATGTATAAATGGTTGGGGGTCACCACAACATGGGGAACTGTATTATGGGGTCGCAGCATTAGAAAGGTTGAGAAACACTGGACTAGAGCCTTGTTTTACTTTAGTTAGGCTAGTGTGGATGAGAAAAGTGGTCTTTTCTAGTCTCATCTCCCTATCCAACTGTCTTGTAAACTAAGCTGGAAGATAAATGCCTACAATCACAGGATAAAGACATGAGGAATATGCAGTTTCATTCATGTCTGTCCTCTGGGATATACAGGTAGTCTTTAACTTACAACCACAATTGGAAACAGAATTTCTGTTGCTAAGCAAGGCGACTGTTAAACCTGAATCTATGACCTTTTTGCCATAGTTCAGTGAATCACTTCAATTGTTAACAAATTGTGTGGTTAATTGAATCCTGTTCCCCCCATTGACTGCTTGATGGAACCTGACTAGAAAGGCCAGAGATCATGTGACCCTGGAACACTGCAATCTTTGTAAATACATGCTGCTGCCAAGCGCTCAAATTTTGAACACAAGACCTTGGGGATGCGGCAACAGTTGTGAGAGTATTGGTTATGTCACTTTTTTCAGGGCTATTGTAACTTCAAATGGTTGCTAAACAAATGGTTGGAAGTCTAGAACTACCTGTATAAAAAAACGTCAGAATATATACCGTATATCTATGAAAACAGTGACAAAAGAAACAAACAAACTTGGCTACTTCTAGTCAAGTTGTGATTATCTTATTAAACAAATGCTATTTTGGTCCCCTGGATTTTTTATCATGAAATGTAAACTCTCAAAGCGTTCTTTTCCATGGGGAAAAAATGCACCAGTACACAAACCTGTTTTTCTGATAAATGCCCAGACTCGAACCACAGACTAGACCAGCAGTGAACCCTTTGGGCTCTGCATGCCAAAAATTAGGAAAAATGCCTACCCTGACTCTGCTGGCAGTCAAGATGCTTCCCCCCTGAACAAAAACGAAACAATTCTTTATGTATTCATTTATTGCCAAAACAACAAAACAGAACAATTGTATGTGTGTGATCCTCAGCATCTGCTGCATGCCACTTACCTTCAAATAGTATCCTCTTTCTGCTGACAGGCCCCAGTGACCTACCCAAGGCAGCTGTGGGTTGCACAAGGCCTTGAAGAGGGTCTAGAGCAGGAGTAGGCAACCTTGGCTCTTTTATGACTCGTGGACCTCAACTCCCAGAATTCCTGAGCCAGCATGGCTCAGCTTGGAAACCTCTCCCTTTCCCCTCAGCATGGCTGGCTCAGGAATTCTGGGAGTTGAAGTCCAGGAGTCATAAAAGAGCCAAGGATGCCTACCCCTGCTCTAGAGAATGCGCTCTCATGGCTTCTGCAGCCTCTGAAAACCACACCCCCTTCTGGCACAATTTTCAGATGGGACAGAAGATGCATATGAGAGCACACCCCATTCCCACACAGTCTCCACAAAAATGGGATGTGCTTTCAAGGATAGCTGTTGTTGGGTATTGGTGAATGCTGGCATTTCATCCAAAATATTGTGGCGTGTCACCTTTGACACGTATGTCCTAGGTTTGCTCTCACTGGATTAGACTACAGTAAAGGGCTCACTGAGAAGAATATAAGTGTACTTAAAACTGCTGTTAAGAAGATAGGGAGTCATTTATTATTATTTTTCGTTTTTATTTTGGGGGCTTTATTTCCACTTTTTTATTACTTTTCCTTATTCTTTTCTTCTTCTACCCAACATTTGTATTGTTTTTGTTAAAAATTATTCAGTAAGTTATTTAACTTTTATTACTTGGCAGTGCCAAGTGACAGCAACATCAGGAAGGCATATGAGAAGCTGAAGAGGCCTGAAGGAGGAAGTGGAGAGGAAGTGGAAAGTAAAGACTAAAGAGGTCCTGGTGGTGGCAGGAGTAATGGGGGTGGGTGATTCCTAAGCTGGGAAAGTGGCTCAGGGACAGATCCCGGGAACAACAGCACAGCTTTCTCTGTCTAAAACAGTGTTTCCCAAACTTGACAATTTTAAGGCATGAGGACTTCAACTCCCAGAATTCCACAGCCAGCAACGCTGGCTGTGGAATTCTGGAAGTTGAAGTCCACATGCCTTAAAATTGTCAAGTTTGGGAAACACTGGTCTAAAACAGCACCGTGCTAGGTACAACTAAGATACTGTGCAGAGCCCCCAAACTCCCAGGTCTCTGGTAGAGGATCCGAGAAGATGCATATCATCCACAGGGGTAAGAAGGGAACGTTTTTTTTAAAAAAATAAAAGGACTCACCAGTGCTGTGCTGCACTGGTGTTCGATCCAAATACTCAGCATTCCCATTTCTCCTTATCATCGTCATCAAAAAGGAGTGGGGGAGAAATGGAGCATAAAATCCCCAGCTAAGAATGTGATGCTTTCAATCTTTAGCAGTAGCTTAATCACAATTTAGTCTGTCTATCATCGGGTCTTTCAATGCATATGGAGGGAAAAGTATATATGTTTTAGTACGTGCGTGCATATGCCATCATTAAGGTCATCCCAACTCACTACACACATGCATACACATTCAGAGAGTAAATTCCTACTTCATAGTTTTCCTTTTAATTCAAGTTATTTAACTGCTCCCCCCTCTTAATTGTTGGTAAGACATAGGAGAAGACTAGTGGACTTCTGCTTCTGTTCAGGTCAAACAGAACAGAGAAGGGAAGCCAAGTGTAGCAAATTGAAAGCAATACTGCGTGAGTTCATGCCTCATTCCATGCTACCAATTGCAGGAAACAATATTACTTGCAAGTTACATAGAAGCAAGAGGGCTGAAGGTTTCTCAATTGCAGGAAAAGGTTACAAGAACCTAGTGGGTTTTATGTGCAAGGTTCGTACCTTTAAAGAAAAAGAAAAAAAACTACAGTCCAAAAAGATTCTCATATCAATTACATCGTTAGCTGAAAATAAAGACAAAAAGGTTTTCTGATTACAGGAACCCAAACTGGGAGATGGAATCAACTTAATCTCCCACCTTTTAGTAGGTAAGATTGGACTCTACACTTGGGATTCAGACGAGCTCATCTAGTAGAAGAGTCAAAAGTTGGCTTCTTTGATTGCCTTTCTCTCTGAATCCTACCCTGTTGCTATATATGTGGTTTAGGACAGGGGTGTCAAACTTGCCATGTCATGTGACGTGGCGCGATGTATCGCGACTTTTTTCCCCTTGCCGGAGCTGGGGTGGGCGCGGCTTCTGTGTGACGTATCCGGCTGACAATTTGACACCCCTGGTTTAGGAGTTGGCAACTGCAAGAGAATTTGGAGAAATTTGCTATCCTCTATTGGGAAACCTCTGCTAGACCCTAGTTCTTTTCATGGGCAAGTCCTGATCCAATCTTATTAAAAAGGGCTGTCTGCACCAACCACAGGGCTCAGTTCATCATCCCTACAACCTTTCAGGTGGCTGTAACACCTATCAACATTTACAAATGACCTTACTACTCACCTGGCTCAGCAAAGATTATGAGTCCATGCTTCAATGCTGATTTCTCTGTTTTTCTTTTCAGTCACCACTGTAGATTCATCAGATTAAACTGCAAACATCCTACACTAGCACAGAAAAAGACTCATCCCAAATGGAGTGAGGCTGCATTAAAGTCAAAAAAAGTGTCAATTCCAGAATGATGCTCTACTACGGTTGTAGGTCTGCACAGGTTGGGGCAAGGCATTATTTCAGATTGGTACATTTGGGCTAGATATTGAAGAGGCAGTAAGACACTGACAGGTGTTAGCACAGGCACACTAGAGGCAGAGTTTATTACACTATGCAGCTAACAACCCTGGAGAAGAAAAACCTCTGTTGTTAAGAATATCAACAGCTCCATATTTAGAAAAAAAAAATCATTGTTAACCCATTCTCCTTTGGTCATTACAAAGCAAAAGATATATTTAAGGTATTTTTTACAGAGTGAGAAGCTGGAAGAAAATAACCTTCTATCTGTCTTTCCCCAGTGGGGGGCAGATCTCAACCTGGCTCACACGTACGTTTCTTTAGCTGTCAAAAGCAGCAGAACGTCAAATTTTCTAATGTCAAAATGATGGTGTAAATTGTTTCCAATAAAAGCAGCATTTACCAAAAGCTGCATTTCTGACCCCTCTCTTGGGACGCCAGTTGTGGCTCCTCCCGTCTGCCCTCTCAATGTAAAAGGGGTTGAGTGTGTGCGAGTGTGCAGTTTCTCCTGCCAGTGCAGTCACATGACACGGCTGGCCAGGCCATATAGTCTCTGATCCCTCATTTGTATGCGGCAGTCTTTAAAAAAAATATTGTATTATAATAGGAAATTCTCTTTCCATCTCTGTATTTTGGATAAATGTCAATCGTCCGTAAGGTCTTGCACAAAGAGAACTTCCGTGTGGCTGAGTCCGGCTTCTTGCAGCGTGGGCGGATTAGGCCATTCCTCTGTAGGAAGGCAGGGCAGGACACGGCGGGGAAAATTGGCCTCAATCTGGAACTTTTCCGGACTCTCTTTCAAAGAGAATAGGAAATCATGGATCACCTGGGAAAATTATACAAAATGTCAGTCAAAGGATTTGTATACGAAGTATAATAATGAACAAATGCTCACATCACAACAATACCACTGAAGACTGCTACCATGCAATGAGTAGGAAACTTTAAATGTCAAGGTAGAGACCTACAAGAAATCACACTGTTTGTTAAATAAAACATTCCTATGAGCCATAAATCATTCCTTGGTTTAACAAAAAAGCTACTGGCTCAGATCTAGACTTCAGTGAACAAAACTCCACTAGCAAATAATGGTAGCTGCTGCTGGAGAAAGCAGCTATTCTTCCTCCTTTCTACCACCCCCTGAAAATTCCTCCAAATATTTGGAGATGGCGGTACAGCACAAAGGTGGCATGAAAAGATATTCCATATATCAATCTATTTACTTCCTTGGGAGCTTGAATAGTACAATAGAATAAACACTGGACGTCCATGTGAGAAACTGAGGTATAATTCCCTAATAACTATCTCTTCACATCTTAACCTGGGCACAATTCTAGGTCAGATGAGAACTGTGCCCTCAGAAGCCCTGTAAAAAAAAAAAGGTAAGGACAGCATTGTGCTTTGCTTCACACTTTCTCTGAGCCCCACAATTTCCACACTGGTGTTTTAGCTTGCTCTTAAGTGTGGCAGCTTAAAGATGCAAATGTTTGAAGATCAATCATATAAAAACATTCATCACCCGTAAGATGAGGATTTCCCCCCCCCTCCTTTTCTTACAGTTAAAGACTGTGTAAAGTGAAATCTCCTTTCCACCCTGGAATCATTGGGCATCTTGAAGATGATCTTAACGCTTTCAGGATCATCGGGATGTGGCTCGGGGGGAAGGCATTCAGATTTCCGTTCCTTCTCCTCTTGCAAATTCTGGAGGGTTAATTGGAGAGATCAATAACAAGCAGCAATTCAAAGAACATACCAAAATCTAAATCTAAATACAGGGATCAGGGCAATGTAGTGACAGTCACCAGATTTAAACAGATTCTCGAGTCCCAATCCCTCTAGATGAGAGGCTCCCAAGCTTTGTTGGTTCATGGTGCCCTGGGCATCTCAGTAATGTTTCTAAGACACCTCTAGAGCAGCGGTTCTCAACCTGTGGGTCGCGACCCCTTTGGGGGTCGAATGACCCTTTCACAGGGGTCGTTTAAGACCATCAAAAAACACATATTTCTGATAACCTTAGGAACCGAGACACCGCTCCTCTATCTCCTTGCCCTCCTCTTCTTCCTCCCCTTCTTCCTCCTGCTGCCCCCCAGGCGGCTCGGGCGGGCGCTGGGACAAGAAGGGTGCCTGGGGGGGAGCTGGAATGGGGGGCTGGGGGTCACCACAACATGAGGAACTGTATTAAAGGGTCGCGGCATTAGGAAGGTTGAGAACCACTGCTCTAGAGTTCCTAAACCACAGGTCGGCAACCTGCGGCTCCGGAGCCGCATGCGGCTCTTTGAGCCTTCCCCTGTGGCTCCCAGCCTCCTCTGCCTTTGCAGAGAGAGACAGAGACAGAGAGAGGCAATTGCGCTTCCCTGCTTCTCTCTCTCTGTGTGTGTTTGTGTGTGTGTGTGTTTTGTGTGTGTGTGTGTGTGTGTGTATGTGTAAAAGAGAGTGCACTCACATTGTTCTCTGAGGAGCTGAAAAGCTTTCTGGGCGGAGCTTCTCCCTTTGCTGCGTCTCTGCAGGAAGCAGGAAGGGCAGGAGAGAGCTAGCTAGCCCAGCTAGGCTGACTCAGGAATTCTGGGAGTGGAAGTCCATGAGTCATAAAAGAGACGAGGTTGCCTATCCCTGAGATTGTTGGAGAACAACTTGAAGCTTGCCAGGTGAGCAGCAGATGGGGGGGGGAGAAAGAGAGAGAGAGAAAGAGAGAGAGGGAGGGGGAGAGAGAGAGGAAAGAGAGAGAAAGAAAGAGAGTGGGGGAAGAGGAGTGGCAGACCAAGGGCAGAGAGGGAGGGAGGGAGACAGAGAGAGAGAGACCCTTTTGACATCTAAAATGAAGATAACACTGCATATATCCTTTTTTTACCTGTGTGTGTATGTAATTTTATTCTCTTAAAGCATTCTCTTGGTGATCATTGTTTTAATAGTATGGATATTCCCAAGAGTCATATTTTTACTTTTATTTTTAATGTGTGTGTGTGTGTGTGTGTGTGTGTGTGTGTGTATACACATACACATACACATACTCTCTCTCTCTCTCTCTCTCTCTCTCTCTCTCTCTCTCTCTCTCTCTCTCACACACACACACACACACACCTATAATAAAGATAAAAAAGGATATATGCAGTGTTATCTTCATTTTAGATATCAAAAGGGTTTTGCGGCTCCCGGTGTTTTGTTTTTGGTGGGAAACGGGTTCAAGTGGCTCTTTGAGTGTTTTGGGTTGCCTACCCCTGTCCTAAACTCTGCATCCAGATGGTGAGGCACCAAAGCAAGTTCACTAATGGTTCTGTTTAGTAAGTAGTAAAATATCCTGTTTGGAATAGCTTGGAAATGGCAGCTCTAGATACAAGATGAGGATTCAAATGTGGAAATGCAACATTTCAGCAAGAGATTTTAACAGTAACAAGTCATAATCAATAAATCCAGGGTCAAACTCCTTAATAATCAAATCTGCCAGGCATTAAAATCTGCAATTAAATTTTTCCAATAGATATAATGGAACTCTCAGTATGGGACATGTATTATAGTTGGTTAGAAATGAGGAATAAAAAAGTAAGAGAAGTAATGTTAAATAATTGTTAATAAACATAAGAGATATAGGACATAGTATTGTTAAGGGAAAAGGAAAATGTATTGTGTATTTTGTATGTTTGAAAATAAAAATAAAAAAATGTATTAAAAAAAAATATAATGGAACTTTGTTAAACGTTCTATTGCAGAAGACTTTAGCAAACTTCTAGAAGAAAATGTAATATGTACACCAGTTCCTGCTCCTCTCTCTCCTTAGCTAAAAATAAATTTGAAGAATTTGAATCACTCCAAATATAAATATATCAGAGCAAGACACATCACATCAGACTACAGGTAGTGTTTTTAATCTTTATGAATTAAAATCTATTATATATTAGAAGTTTTTATACACTGTTTCTCATTACAAAAAAAAATTCAAAGCTGAGTGAAGTACAGATTTAAACATCTGACTCCTAACTCATTTCCATCTTGCACGCTGAAGTTTGATGGGTGAGTACACTGGATATTCAGCCTAGTACAGTATTCCTTAAACTTTCTGCTCAGGACCCCTCCCCCCTTTAAAAATTATGGAGGACCCCAAAACAGCTTTTATTCATATAGATTATATTTATTTATTGACATTCACCAGATTAAAAATTAAAATTGGTGCACTTGTAGCTATTTATTGAATTAGGTAAAAATAACAATATTAAGCCCATTAGATATTAACATGCATATTTTCCTTGAATTTTTTTTTAACAAATCAAAGTAATAACGGGAGAAGCGAAACTATGCCAAATTTTTGCAAACATGTTCAATATGTGGCAAAAAACATGTTGATTTTGTGTCCTGTAGGGAGGAGTTGGGGAACTCCCAGAGGTGCTCAGACCACATTTTAAGACTCTGGTCAATTAAATAGGCTAATCAACTAGGAAAGCTACCGTATATTCCGGCGTATAAGGCAACCCGGCGTATAAGACGACCCCCGTCTTCGGTGCCGAGTCACATGCCTAGAAAGTCGTCTTATACACCGGAAACTACCATTATTTCCGGCGTATAAGACGACTCGGCGTATAAGGCGACCCCCGACTTCGGCGCCAATTTTAAAGCTTGCAAAAGTCGTCTTATATGCCAGAAAGTACGGTATATGCTCTACCCCACAATTTACAAAAGAGCCCTTTTACTCGAAAACAGCTAGGCTCCTAAGCCAACAAGTATCCCTTCTTACCTGCTGCCTTCTCTCTTCCGCCAGCTTCTGCTGTTGCACCTCTTCCTCCTTCCTCCTCCTCTTCTCTCGCTCTTCCTTTTTCTTCCGTTCTTTCTCCTGATCTGCCCGTAAGGAAGCAAGATATGCCTCATCCTGTTGCTGCCTCAGGACCTGAGTTTGGTTTCGTTCTTCTCTAATATAAAAAAGGAACATTTGTTCTAATTAACCAGGTTTTTTAAAAAAATTAGAAATTCTAGAATAGCAGTTTCTGACTTTTTAAAGTAAGAAGATGCATTTAGAACAGTGGTTCTCAACCTTTTTAATGTCGCGACCCCCCAACCGGTCGTAAGTTGAGGACTACCCAAAGTTGAGGACTTTTGGCGGGCTCAGCAGGGCAGAGACAGCCTGGACAATTCCTATTAGCTTTCAAAAGCCAATAGAATAAAAGGGAGTAGCACAGCTAAGGAAAAGGGGGAAAAAATGGCGGACTGCATTGTTTGGCGACCCCCGTGAAATGGTCATCCGACCCCAAATGGGGTCCTGACCCACAGGTTGAGAACCACTGATTTAGAATTAGGACCGTTGATCACTTTTCTATCACAGCTTGAGTATATGTATGGCTGCCCTAGACAGCAGTATGTCCCAAAAATGCTTTTTCTAAAAAGGCAACTGGGTTTTCTTCATTATTTCTTTGAAAATGTTTTGCTTCTTATCCAAGAAGCTCCTTCAGTTCAGTTCAAGCAAGTCCAGCTGCCTTTTGGAAAAAGCACATTTGGAACTATCATGACTTGGATAATGGAGACTCTCCATACACATTTGGACAACAGCATTTTCAAACTAGTAGCAGCAACTTTCTTTCCCATTAAAAATGAAGAGCACGCCAAAAAGGGGTGAACACTTCAAACCTGTAATCCTAGATATATGAAAGTTAAAGAACCTATCAAGAGGAGGTGTACTTTTTTCTTCTTTTCAAGCAAAGATGTATTTTGTCCATATCTAAATGCACAAACTGACGAGTCTACAATTAATTTAGTCTAAAACTAAATGTAGTTCCACAGAATCTAAGATCCCACTGGATCTGACCCCTGGAGCCTACCTTTGAGGCTGAGAAAGAGCTTAAAAGTATGAGAAGGGGTATATAACTTTTCAAGATCTTGCAGAAGGCAAGATGATGATTTTCACGGTTAGGGTGATAAATGTCAAAATTTAATGATGGATTGTAGCCCACATATTTTCAATTTTGTGTAAATTTACCATAGCAATAAATCATACTACTGGTTCTTTCTGCTATGCTGCCAAAAAAATTCTTTCAATCTTTTACATCCTACCTCCTGTAGTATTCCTGATCATAGCATATAATCTACCAGTAATGTGCATAGTTATTAATTTGGTCATGAAGTAAATAAATAAAAGTTGAATAGTGTACATTTCTGATATCATGAGGCATTAGATATCTTCCTGGTTCTCATTGAGCAAGGTCCTCAGACTACACAATGCCTGAGTTCATACAACACTTCACATAATTTGCAAGTTTTCTTATACTGTGCAGAACAAATCCAATTCACCAGATTATGGTTTACTACTTAGTGTGTTGTATGTATCAATCAAACTGTGTCTTATTAAGCAATCTATAATTAAAACAACCGTAAGCCACAATGTGATGCATGAATCTAGTTAATCTCAGATTTTAAGCAACTGAGAACAAATTAAATCATAAAAGGATGTAATGTGAAAAGAGCAAATTGCCTTGAGTTTTTGATGAGATATATTATTTGTTAGAAACACTATAACCATCATCTTCCATTTTTTATTCAATATTAAAATTTTTTGGAATAAAACAAAGGAACAAAAAGGTGTTATTTTTCTGCTTAATACCTTTCCAGACGCTCAGATACCAGGTACGTCTGATTGGAATCCATAATGAATGTCAACTGGTTAATGAGGTCATCAGGTTGGATAAGTCCTTCTAACCTTCCAACCACAGTCATTCTACGATCTTTCAGCATGATCACTGCCAAGAAAGGGTAGGTGTTCTCACGCAAAGCCTGAGACACTGAGAAAAATAAAGCACTGTCACTATTTGCAGCTTTAGAATGGAAGCCAATATTTAACATATGAATGCTGAAATTGAACTACATTATTTGGTCTCTCAATTCTTATTAATAGCCGCTCTGGCAGTTTTCAGAGAAAAAGCATTTCCTATTTCTGTTGTTATAATTTTCTGGTAATTCAAGATGACAAAAGAGTTTCAGGTGTGAGCTTTATTCAAATATTCCTTATCACAAAGCTATGATTTTATTCCATAATGGACTGTAAAAAAAAAAACACCTTGTTTAAGCCCCCACATTTATTTCAACTCTTATGATGGAACTGTTTCTTTGTTCTAATCTAAAAGTACAACAGAACAATACAATTTATACCAAACAATGCAAAATCATAAATGTGGTCTCAAAAAGTAAGAATTTCATAATTTGGATGTCAAAATCTGATTTCTCATGGCAAACCACCTGTACTTCAATGAGCTGTGAAACTCATAGAAGAACTTTCCCAAAAGATCCAAGGCCGGATAGGAACATACAAAAATGGCAGATGGATATTTAATTATCTGACTCTTAAAACTTATTTTCAAAAAACAATAATCAGAAGCAACAATAACAAATTCCTGCCATATTATGGATTCCAATATTCGTCAAAGACTGACTTAAATACATGTTGCTGTAATACCAATCTTTTGGATAACATTCTGCTCATGCTTAGAAAACCTGATTTATTCAACACATTTTTGGCAAAGCTTCATCTGATAATCCAGGATCATTACTGATATGCAACTTCATTTTTTAAAAAAAGAAAGACAACTTTATTATCAATACTACCTATTAGATTTAATCATATACTCAATGTGAATTCCAAATGAGATTGTTCCATGACTTCCTTCGTGAAGTCACTGTATTATTGGAAATTTTATTCAATGTGTTTCCAAATTATCCTCAGTATGGATTTTCCTTTTTTGATTTGACCCTGCCTTTCACTATAGTCCAAAATACATTTCCTTTGTTAATTACTGCATACTTGACCTGTCTATATGTTAAAGTTTCTACCTAAAAATCTGGAAGCATGATTTACAGACCCTTACATGCCCTTTCTTTTTTAAGCTAGTTATTCCTAGTTCTAAATTGTGTGTGGATTAATTAAAAATCTCCGGTAATAATATAAAGTTTTACAACTACCCATTATTTATACACTTTTATTGTCAGAAATGACCATGGAACTCCATTCAATTATGTTTACCCACGTCAGTTGTAAATGCTTCACAGTCCAAGAATAGCTTTTTCTAAATTACCTAGTTTCCTATTGAAGGTTTAACATTTTTAAATAACTGTAAAAGTTTTTAAAAATTTAGAACATGCCAACATTTAATGGGATTTCTTTCCCAGGAAATATATATAACACAGCAGCTAAGACTATTTCAGTGTACTTTTACTCTGGCATAAGTGCCAATGGATACTTTCAACGTTGCTTCTGAATAATAAGGCCAGATATGTTACAAGAAGACATACCTCTGTATCCTTCTGGTTTATTGGTAGAACATGCCCAGAAGAGCATCCTGGTGTTTAAGAGGGAAATTACTTCTGGCGCACAGAGTGTGCTACTATAAGAAGAGGATAATAAACAACATACTTGAAGTCACATACAAAACATTCATTTATTTGATACATTTATATCCAGCCTTTTGTTCAGGAGTTCACAGTGCATCCTCCTTTCTTCCCCCCCCCCCCAATAACAACAAGGTTGTAAGGCAAGATTAAGCTGATGATTCCCGTGACTGACTTACATGCAGATAATTTGCTAACTTAATAGCACCTACCGACAAAATTCATCAGTATCTTGATGATCATCACCATGCAGGTAAACAAGCAGGAAGCGCAACTCCCTCTTGGCATCATTCAGGGCCTTGAAAGACAGCATTAAAAAAATGGGATCAGAGATATACAAAAAGGTTCAGTTTGCAGAACACACAGGCAACAGGAAAAAAGCTGGGGACATAAGCAACTGAGGCAGGAAAGGGGAGGCATGGGGGAGGGGAGGGGAGGACAGGAATACACCATTTGGGGAGGAATGGAGAAAGGGTAGAGGGCTGCTTTAGCACAAATAGGCCTAAACCTGACTACGGGTAGTCCTCAATTTATGACTGCAATTGAGCCCAAAATGTCTGCTGCTAAGCGAATCTTGCCTCATTGTATGACCTTGCCAAAGTTGTTAAGTGAATTACTGCAGGTTGCAAAAGGTGATCACATGACCCCAGGACACTACAACCATCGTAAACATGAGTCAGTTGCCAAGCATCCAGATTTTGATCACATGACCATGGGGATGCTGGCAATGGACTCATATTTTTGATGGTTGCAGTGTCCCAGGGTCACGCAATCACCTTTTGCAACCTCCTGTCAAGCAAAACAAATGGGGAAGCCAGATTCACTTAACAACCGTTACTAACTTACCACTGCAGTGATTAACTTAACAACTGTGGCAAGATAAGTGTGAAAAATGGTCATAAGTCACTTTTCTCAGTGCCACTGCAACTTTGAACGGTCACTAAATGACCTGTTGTAAGTTGAGGACAAACTGTATGGCCTTTGCTAGAATTTATTCATAAGGATTAATGTGGATTTCTGTCTAAAAGAAAGACAATTGAAGGATGTCAGAACTGTGTTGGATATCTTGGTATATTTGGAACAACTGATTGTTTCACTGATTTTATGCTTCTGACCAATGCAAAACTGAGTTTGAAACAGAACTGTGTACAAATGGTTAACTTGTAATTGCTAACATGTATAAACTTTCACTGAAATTTGAGGCAGAAGCACGTGAAAGAATATGATAAAATGGGCTAAAAATTTTGGTTATGATATACAAACGGAATAGTGAGAAAATATGCGGCTGAAAGAGTTGTACCGTATATTCCAGCATATAGGGCAACCCAGCGTATAAGACGACCCCCGAGTTCGACGCCGGGTCGCAAGACGATCGACGCCGAGTCGCAAGACAATCGACGCCAAGTCGCATGCCTAGAAAGTTGTCTTATACGCCGGAAACTACCGGTATTTCGGGCGTATGAGATGATCAACATCGAGTCGCATGCCTAGAAAGTCGTTTTATACGCCTGAAACTACCGGTATTTCTGGTATATAAGACGATCGACGCCGAGTCGCATGCCTAGAAAGTCATCTTATACGCCAGAAACTACCTTATTTCCGGCGTATAAGATGACTCGGCATATAAGACGACCCCCGAGTTCGGAGGCTGTTTCGACGCTCTCAAAAGTCGTCTTATACGCCGGAATATACGGTAATTTATATTCTGTTCTGGTCTTCTTCTTTTTTAAAAAATAAAATGATATACCATTGTGTATGACACCAGAGAAACCAAAATGTATAAAGATTATTTTGAATTTATGCTGGAACATAAACATCACGGAGGGATGTTTTATCAAATTTGGTGGATGTGTAAAAAGCCAGAAAATTTTGAATTCAAATACATGAACTAATTCAGAAGACATTAATGACTACAAATCATCCTTGGCTCAAGTGATGCAATCATTAAACAGATCACACCTGAGTTTACAACCTTTTATGCCATGGTCATTAAGCGAATCATGTGACCATTAAATGAATCTAGCTTCCCACATTGGCTTTGCTTGTTGGAAAATCCTTGGGAAGGTTGCAAATGGTGATCATTTGTCCTTGGGATGCTAAATGCATGTTGGTTGCCAAGCACTCGAAGGCTGATCACATGACCATGGGATGCCGCAATGTTAAGTGTGAGGATTGGTTATAACCTTTTTCAGCATTTTCATAACTTTGAGCAGCAGTTACATGAATGGTTGTAAGTTGAGAACTACCTGTGATGCACAATTAAAACCAGAGAATTTTCTTTTGGGATTAATGGACAGTTGGGAAAAAAAAGTCATGAAACATTTTTTTTATATTAGAGAACTGCAGCAAGAGGATTATATGTCCAAAAATGGGAAGATACAGTGTTACCCACAATGGAGGAATGGTTGGTGAAGATGACACAACATGCAGAGATGGCTAACTTCACTTTTTAAATTAGACATTTACATTTATTGCTGACTAGAAACACCTTATAGACTTTTTGTATGAAAAAAGAAAAAAATAAACTTTTGATTTGTGGTTTTTGATGATTAGAAAATATTAGATAACAGAAAAAAGAGAGCTTCTTTTGTAACTGCAGAGATAATTTTGTAATCATTTTTGTATTTGCTGCAAGGAAATTGGAAGCTTTGTCTTTCTATTTCTTTTTAACCTTTCCTTTTTGCACCTTTGTCCTTCCTTTCTTTCTCGTTTTCCTTTCTTTTTTTACTTCGTATTATTTTTTTTTAGTTTTTATCTTCTCTTTTAAACTTTTAATAAAAAATATATATATAAAAATTAAATGGATATGATCTTCAGCCAAGGGTCTTCCAACAAACCAAACAAAGGAGCCCATTACAAGATAGTATTCTGTCATCACACTTAAATTTATATTTAAGAAATTTTATACTTATATCTGTCATAAAAGAAAGTTTGCAATCATTTATTTGTATTTCTTTTTCTTTCTGAACTCTTGGCTTTACTTTTTTCATTCTTTATTATTTTCTCCCTTCTATCTTCTTCATTAGTTTTGTTAAGTTTTTTAATAGTTATTTTTTAAAATACTGCATTTTAATGAAAATGCAATTACTATCTAATCACAAGTAATACTATCAGAATATCAGATTACATATTTAAATTTTACCAGTATTATTTTTGTAAAGAAAAGAAATTGCAGTTGTACTTCAAAGAAAAGCTTAAGTGTGGCTTTCTAAGAGATATAACAAAACAGGATTAGAATAATTCCATTTATCTGAGTCAACATTTCTACCAACCTGGCTGTATGTTCCCTGATAGAAGACAGGATGTATTCTTCCATATTTTTCTTCAAACATATGAATAAATGAAACAATGTCACCTACAGGGTCAGTGACCCGACTACGAGGATCAGGACGGATAAAACGCAAAGCAAACCTGACAGAGAAAAGGATCAAAATGTTTGATTACTAGTTATCTAAGAATCTGAAGATGTGACTGGACTGACTACGGTCTTAAATCCTCTAAGCTAATTCCTCCATGATCAGCTACAAAGCTTGATTTAAGTTTGCAAAAAACACATATGCATTAGGAATCAATCAGTACTGACGATTTATTATATTTCTATTAAATTTTTATGCTGAAAATGGCAAGAAATGTCTTTTTGAATTAAAACACAATTCATTAGCCTTAACATTTTTATATAATTTGTATTGTACCATAGTTATTGGGTGGCTTACCAGAAATTTGGCACTTATCCATTAATAACCCAATCTTATGTGTGATTGTGTGTTTATGTATGCACACCCGTGTATGTGACAGATTAAACTAATTAACAAAAATGGAAGGTGAGAATAAACTATACGGTTAATATAAACAAATATGAACTCAGCTGCACTTACCTAAATATATCAAGTAATGTGTAATATGTAAATCGGAATGGAAGCATTATCAAATAGTAACCCCAACCTAATAAACCCTGAAACAAATAGAAAGTAATTATCAGTATATTCCTTTTGCACACTCATGTTAATTTAGTTTCAAGTAGTTATATTAGTGAAAAATTAACAGAATCAGGAAAATTGCTGTCATTAAGTAAGACCACTAACAAGACATCTATAACTAATGCTCCTCTATACTCTTTCTCCTCCAGTGTGGAAGATATTATAGTATAACAATGACACAAATTTTGGAATTTCATTGCCAGATTTTTTTAAAAATGGAAACAAGGACATTTATTAGCTTTTAGGGGATTACTGAACATTTAAAACAGCTATTTAAAATGATCAATGGCTACTTCATGTGACATTTTCATTGTACAAAGAAAATAAAACACTTCATAAATATACCAAAAAAAAAAAAAAGCATATAACAAAGGTGGGTACCTTTTGTGCTAGAACAGCTTCGCTATTTTGATTGGTAGATGTGAAATGTGTTGCTACACAAAATAAATAAGTTAAGCCTCACAGAAGCTTCTAATATACCTATTTTATAGACTAAATTGGCAAAAATAAGCCAAATATGTCCTAGTGGAAATAGAACTTCTATGTTTACTATTTACAGTAATGTAACAAAAGGAAGCGCACCAATTGTAGACACTTACAAACCAAGCCTTCTATACAAAGAGATTCCCAGTGATTCAAGCAGAGGACACGCAGCACATGAACAATCCATAACACAAAAAAAAACACAAAAGGAAAGAACTTTCCTTCTATTGGTCCTTTTCATATTAGCAACAAAGGACACCACTCTTTTCAAGCACATTCAAATAAAATAACCTGCCCTTGGCTGTGGCCTTGAAACAACATAGCTGTAGATTCTGTGATCCGCAGTGTTGACCTGCAAGGGCCGAGAAGGTGGTGGGTTGAAGACACTTGGGACTCCCTCTTGTTCATTTAATCGGTCCTGAACAGCTGCCTACAGAAGGAGACCCACAATATATTATGCTCTTATTGCAGAAAATATTATACTATTTTGAATACAGAAGGAGGAACAATGGATACAGACCTATTGACAGCTTGCAGTCTGAATTACATTATTAAAAAGTTTAAATAAATAGTATCTTCTTTACTAAATGTTCTTGTAATTTGAAATGCTAAGGAATAGTTAGAAACAATCAAGATGACATACATGTAAATCTTCCCAGTTTCATCCCTATGAAAATAAGTTTTGAATGAATTAAACTGAAGGACAGTAAGTGGTTCAAAGCCACCTGCTCCAAGGATGAGTCAGATTTGAATCTAGGTGCCATTCCTTATCCAACACATTAACCGCTTCATTGACTCTAGAACTTGAAAATTTCAGAAATCTAGCTTCTTATATATTTCAGTTTTCAATTAAAGAACACGGTATTTTTCTAGTTCTTATAAATAAATGAGGTATATTTGAAATTTGTACAGATCTTATATGTGAATAAATATATCTGTAATAGTCAGAGGCAGACCATGCAATTTTGGGCTGAATTCCATGCTTCTCCCTCCAATTATGAAAATTTTGCATAGCGAAACAAAGCAGAATTATGCAAAATAAAGAACATATGAGTAGTTATGCTTAATATACTTATAACATGTGCAATAACTTTGTTTTAGTACTAAGCATATCTAATTATAAGATACTTTAAAGAAGGAACTCGTATCAATGTCTTTCACAAATCGAAGACTACAATCAGTGCAATTAGAAAGCAGAGCCAAATGGCACAATACCTCTATATTCCAGTTGTGTTGCTCCAGTGTATGACGACATTGGTCCATGGACTCTATGCCAGTCAAATCCTAAGGCCAAAGGAAGTGGGGAAACAGATGTCACAGAAGGCACATTTCCTGAATTAATTAACGTTTATTTTTAGTCATTTATCTTAATAATTCAGACATCAGCAAAGCATTTGCAAACTTTATCCCAACATAACCAATAATTAAGCAATGCTGGATTCTAAACAGGGCACAAACAAACTTTACCTTTAATTCTTACCTTTATTTAAAAAAACCTTTTGATTCTTAAAAAACCTTGGAGAAAACCTGAATATTATTGTTTCTTAGATTATTATTAGTTGGAAAAAAGCCAGCTCACCCAAAATGAAAATAGGGTGCCTAATTGTTGAAATGCTTTGTGGTAAATCCTCTTGTAGCAGTGATAGTTTCAATGGATCATGAGTTATTCCCCCTTTGGCATCATTGTGCATCAAAACTCTTCTCTCCTTTATGTTTAGCTATATTAGTTATTCATTCATTCTCAGATGTACTATTAAAAACTGATGATAAAGGGCAGTACACATTAGACACCAATTAGTTTACAAATACCCAATTAGATGGTAATGTCAAACTCAGAGGTCCCCAACTTTTTGAGCATCAGGGATCGGTTCCGTGGAGAGAGGTTTTTCTGCAGACTGGAGGGGGTGTGGTTTCATGTACTGCCTGCACCCCGTGGATGGGGCTTTGCTTGTTTGCGTGTTGCTGGCATGCCCCAGCCCATGGACTGGGAGTAGGGGACCCCTGGTCCATCTCAACAGTTCCCACACTTTTAGGTACCAGGGACATTTTGTGGAAGACAATTTTTCCACAGAGCAAGGAGAGGGGGAGCGCGCAACCTAGATTTCTTGCATGCACAGTTTATAGTAGGGTTCATGTTCCTATGCTTGATGCCCAGAAGTGGGCCAGAGGCGGTGATGCTAGCACTGGGGAGTGGCTGCAAAGACAGATGAAGCTTCAGTCACTTGGCCGCTGCTCACCTCCAGCTATACGACCCGATTCCTAACAGGCCAATGGTCTAAATGACACTGACTGATTTTTAAAAAATTAAGAATCATCTCTCATTAATAATTGGATGGAAGACTAACAGGATTTTTCAAGAGCTATAGTGTAGACTGGGAATTTGAAAAACAACTTAGAAGAAGGCAGTGCCAAATAATTGCCATGTCGTTGCTGAGAAAATTACATAAACCTGTACATAAATTCACCAGGAGTTGAATTAAACTCAAATAAGGCTTTATTATATTACTTCCATAAGTACTAATTGGGTGGTAATAAACGCTAGGCAAAATGAAACTTCTTAAATCATAACTATAAAAGTTGGATTCTTAGAACACAATGAGCAAAAACTAAATAAGCTATCCAACCTCTTGCCAAAACTGGCTCAGTCATTAATATTTTCCACCACTCTTTTGCCTCAATAAGGCAATGTTCAACAAAACGTTATTTTTCCATAGAATCAGAAAATAAGGATCGAAAGGAAACTTGGGGATCATCTGGTTCAACCCTCTGCCCCTACAGGAATCCAAAGCTATGCATCCCTGACAAATGGTAATCCAGCCTCTCTTGTGAAAGAAGAATCTGCCCCCAACCAAGGCAGTCTGTTCCATTGTAGAGCACCTCTTATTCTTATGATTTCTTCCTGGATATCCAACCAAAGGTACTTCTGTACAATTTAAAACCATTGCTCTTTTCCTATTTTCAAGAATAATTTTGAACAATCCTGCCCTGTCTTCCAGATGATGGCCCTTTAAATACTTGAAGACAGCTATTAAGTATTGCTTCAGTCTTCTCCAAACTAAGTATACCAATGTTTCCAATCACTCCTCCTTCTTTTCAAGACCCTTGGTCTTGGTTGTTCCTCTCAGGACATGCTGCAATTTGTCAGTGTTCTTCCTAAGCCATGGTGTCTAGAATTGGATGAAATATTCTGAGTGTTGTCTGACCAATGCAGAATAGAGAGAAATGATGTTTCTTGATCTTGATCTAATGTCTCTAACCCTAATGTTCAGCTTCTAATCCATCAAGACACCTATATATTTTTTGCATGAACTGCTCTCTAGATGATTTGTCCATCTTTAAAACTATACTCCTGCCTTAATTTTTTTTATGACTAAATGTAGAATGTTTGTCCCTATTAGGTACAATTTCAGGCTTAGTCATCAGCTTGCAGGACCGGAGATATTCTAAGATGGTTCTGTTTTAATTCCGTCTCATCTCTACCTGATAGTTTGTATTTTAAGAATAATTGCTTTATATTTTTATCAATGATTTTTATGTATTAGTTTCATTTTACTGTTGTAAGCCACCCACATTGTGTGAGATGGGTTGCTATATAAATTTGATAAATATTAATCTTAACAATGCCCATTTTTCCAATTTGTCAACATTCTGTTGAATCTTGATACTATCCTCTAAAGCAGACATGTCAAACTCGTGACGTTGCGCAATGTATCGGGCCAGTTTTGCCATTGCTGGCAATGGGGTGGGCACAGCTTCCAGAGGATGCGTCCGGCCTGTGGGCCAGCAATTTGACACCCCTGCTCTAAAGGGTTTGTTATAACCTCTATCTTTGTGTCATGTACACGACATTTCTAAATATGTTCCACATGAAATATACCACTTGACATTTTTCTCCACATTGTCATTAAGACATAATGACATACAATTATTGTGCACTATTTTTGAACCAGCTCTGTGACCATTTTTAAATTTTTTAAGTCTTCTTTACTAGAATCTTATAGGAGACTTTTCTGTCGTCAAGGTACAGCAAATGTGCACCAAATTCTCATGGTCAAGTAAACAATCATTCTGTCAGCATAGTTCTTCCCCATATGTACTAATAACACTTATTTGTCACTGCAATATGTTTGTAATTATGCTTGTTACTAGCCACTCAAATAACCAATATACAATTTGTTTAATGATAAGATTTTAATATCTATCAGTCTTCAAAATGTTTTATTCCTTTTCTAAATTAAAAAACAACACTTTTTTAAAAAAAATTGGTTTATTCTAGGTACTGGAATTGACTACAATTTATATTTTATGAACTCACTCACTGCATATTACATATCTAATCCATAACTGAGAATTTTATATTGTTTAGAACTTATGTTCAGTATCCTGTGCTGGATAAAAAAAAAACAGCTTGATTCCAAGCTGCTATATAAATATACTGTATTCAGAAATGTGAGTTTGCATTTCATGATTGAATATAAATAGTAAAGCACTGTACCCATTAATTCTTTCTCTTTTATCCAGGATGACTTCCTCACATACATCACCTGCACTATATTTTCAAGTCCTTATCATTTGTCCTCTAATATTATTATTTGACATCATTATTTCTGTTTTCATACTTTTTACATTCTGATCTATTTAAATTGTCTAGTTTATTACCACTACATGAATTTTTATATTGCAACTTCTGGAATTCCCAATAACTACCACCTCCATCATCGAAAGAATAATACTTTACCTAAGAGAAGAAACTCACTAGGTATCTTCTCAGGAATATACTGTTCTATCCTCAGTGGCATACTACACTGAGAGAATGTAGGCAAACATATTGAAATCATTCAAGAGGAGGCGTCAGGCATTCCAGTTAGCCTGTTAAGCTGGTATTCCTGGTCTTGTTTTATCTCTTTTCAAACTTAAAATCTGTTCAATATGTAGAAACTCCGCAAACCAAAGGATTACCTAAGCAGAATTTTACAATAACATTAGCATATGAAGTTTTTAACAGAACCTCAGTTCTTTTTCTCAATGCTAAATGTATCTTACAACCCTCTCCCCAAAATATTTCAATTAAGCTAAAACAAAATCAGTAAACATCCTCTTAAATCATATAATTGATTGGACAAATGTATCTAATATTTCTTAACATTTCTAGATTCTATTGCCCTTTTCCATGTAGCCTGCCTGCTATAACTTACTTTATTACACAGGGTGAATTTGATTTAAATCAAGTCGATTTAAATCATAATTTTTAAAGAGCAACTGTCATCTCTGTCCTACAGCGGCTCCTCCTCTGACCCGTTGTGGACTCACCGACAGTCCCATTCACTTTAATGGGATGGCTGGTGATGCCGCAGTGACACAACAAGGTGAGGGACGTGGCGAGCAGCAAGTGAGTGGAGGCCCTTAACAGGCGCTGCCTTCATGGATCTGAAATGACAGGTGCTCTTTAAATGGGATTCATTCTTGCTGGTAGTTAGAATCTTTAATATTATTATTTGCAAACAAAATGACCGTTTCCTATTTAGAATAAGAAACTGTCAGGTTAGTAAAACGGCAATATCAGAACTAATTTTCGGTTAATAGGTTACTCACACATACTATGTTTCTCTGAAAATAAGACCTACAACGAAAATAAGACCTACCCTGATTTTGGGGGGTGGGCCGAATATAAGCCCTACTCCCAAAATAAGCCCTAGTTAGGACCCTGCCCACTCCATCCCACCTTGCTGCTGCAAGGGGGCAGGAGAGCGCATGGCAGCCCTGTTTCCTGCCACTTCTCCTCCCAGCGTTGTTGTAGAGTTTGGCGCATCATCGCCCAGCTCCTCTCTCTTCCCGAAAGCATTTCTTCACTAATCTGCTTTCCAGCCCTGGCGCATTTCTCTCCTGCTGCAGGGAAATGGGGCTGCCATTTCCAGAACAGAGAAGGGAGACACGGGGTGATGCAAAGTGGCAAGCAAGTGCTCTTCTCTGCTCAGCATCTCTGCGCAGAGTCACTCCCCTCCCTGTTCTCCGTTCTCTCCAGTGGCAGCAATGGAGGGGCAGGGGAGGCTTGCGCTGCCCGGTCACGGGAGAGTTGGTGGTGGAGGAGGCTGCCACTGGGCAGATGATCTGTGGGGCAAAATGCAAAGAAAGCCCCTCCAGTGGCAAACAATGGCAGAGTAGCCTTTCGTTGTCACTCCCCCCTGGCTCTGAAACAGCAGAGGGGGACCGGGCCTACCTTATCCTCCGTAGCATGGCAGTCCGGCTCAGGAGGGGAGTGAAAGAGAAGGTCGCTGAGCAACGAA